GGGGCATACATATCTGAAATGTTCATCGTTGCAACAAAGATGTCAAAAATGTTTGTATTTTATTTGTTTTGACTAAGAATCAAAAATATCTAAATTATCGATGTAGAAATGTCATGAGACACTACGGCTATTTTAGACTTTTAAATTATTTTAGGCATTATACGTGTTTATTTTAACATTCTCAGTTGTAGAGGCATTTATACTGATGGGAGTGTTGTTAACTAGGTAGGACTCCACAGTACTTTTTGATGTATTATTATATGGTAAAATGCACTGCCATAACATCAGTAAAAAGTCCTGGGAAAGTGCTGAGGGGAGAATGCTCCTTTATTGGAGTCCTGGGAGCCCGGAATGACCATATTTAGTAAAGAGGGTTGTCCTGAATTTTAGACTAAAACCTGATTCGCTAAAACAAGTGTCATGTGGCCGCTGACATTTATAGGAAACAGCTTAGTTTCTGAAGTCTTTTCTCGTGGTTAAAAGTTGGTATTTTAATACAGAAAACGTTGTCTGTAGATAACATCCTGTCATCGGGACGACTGGAGGAAAACACGATGCAGTTAACGTGAGTTGTGCGTGTTTTTATGTTCTCTTGTCACAGATCATGTTCTGCATGGCTATAACCGAGGAATATGTTTCCTAATTGTTGATTAACCAAGCACACCTTTATATTATTGTTACTATTATTATTTTTTTATAGTTAATTCCTATTTCTCATGCAGGAAATTTTTTTTTTTTTTGATTTGATGCAGGAATTCTTGAGAAGAATGTCTTTAGTTCCAGTCCTGAGCTGTCCCACAGTCCCACTTTCCAATGGTTTACAGATTCCAATCCTTGGTTTAGGTAAGTATTACAGAGAATACTATTAAGAGGATTTCAAACAATATCAAACAGAAAATGTATATAACCCCTAAACGCTGTAATTGTATGTTTGAGGATATTAGTCTAAATTAAAAGTTTACAAGAAGAAGCATTTAGACATAATGAGAGAGAAAAAGACTGAAGTATTACCACAAAAATTACAAGACGGCTTGCCTAACAAAACCCACAGATACCTTTCAGAACCTATAGCAGAGACGTCCAACCCTGGTCCACGAGGGTCACCATCCTACATGTTTTAGAGGTTTCACTGTTCCTACACCTGATTTGAATGAATGAGCAAACAGGCTCTTGTAGACAAGGAGGAGGTAATTCAATCACTGAATCAAGTGTGTTAGAGCAGGGAAACAAAACATGCAGAACAATGGCCCTCAAGTACCAGAACTGGACGCCTCTGACCTACCTCTCTGACAATAAATCTTGAATAGCCCAAAGCGTCCCTAAATTTAATAATGATAAATTGGTTCTCAAATCCTGTCACTGTACTATGTTTTATCTATTTGCTGTCAGGTACATCTCACTTTGGAGGATTTTCTCATGAGGCCGTAGTGTATGCGCTCGCTGAGTGCGGCGTCCGCCACATTGACACAGCAAAACGCTACAACTGCGAGGAGAGACTGGGCAAAGCCATCAAAGACAGCGGGGTCCCACGAAGGGATTTGTGGCTCACCAATAAACTGTGGCCTGGGGACTATGGATACAAAGATGCAAAAAGAGCCTGCCTGGAGTCCTGCTCGGCGATGGGGGTTGACTACTTTGGTATGAAATAATACTGATAAAATTAAGGGAAACAGAAACCCGATAAAGATTATAATGTCTGATTCTGATTGTTTGTCAGCTAAGCTCTTCTTTTTCCTTTTCAGATTTATACTTGATGCACTGGCCGGAGGCGGAGTCACTGACATCTGGTTGTTCCAACAGAGAGATGAGAGCTGAAACATGGAGAGCTTTGGAGGAGCTTTATGAGGAAGGTAAAAGCTGCCGTACAGGTGGCAGCTTGTTGCAGTAGCTCTGCTCAAACTGTTGCTTTTTATGTTGTTCGRACAGTTCCAAAACTAAACCAGACCCAGTGTTACAGCTGAATGGTTTGAAAATACTTCATTTTTCTGGCCTGATTTCCTTTTATAAACTCATAACTCTATTGGAGCAAAATAGCAGCACATTATACAGAGCTAAAATTATATCATTGTAGGGATTTGCCGTGCTATTGGAGTGAGCAATTTCCTGGTCAGCCACCTGGAACAGTTGAAGGAAGACTGCAGTGTGGTGCCACATGTTAACCAGGTTTATTTCCTCAAGCTTTCAGATATATGAACTGTTTAAATATGAGAACTACTTCACGATTGCATTTTATCTTTGAAATGGTCCTCGTGTCAATGCCTCAATGTTGTGCTTGTTTGCCTTTCAGGTGGAATATCATCCTTTCCAGCAGCCCAAACCCCTGATAGACTACTGTCGTAAAGAAGGGATAGTATTTGAAGGATACAGTCCTCTGGCCAAAGGTCAAGTCTTCAGCGATGCCACTGTGCAACAAATTGCAGAAAAGCACAAACGGACCGCAGCTCAGATCTGCATTCGTTGGAGCATTCAGGTAGACACAGTTGTACCATAAATTGTCCTGATTATTTAGTTAGCTAGTTTGATTCTTTTCCAAATGTTTCTCAGAATGGAGTCGTCACAATACCAAAGTCTACCAAAAACAACCGCATACATGAAAACTTTCAGGTGAGTTAAAAACCTGTCTTTTTAACTCACTTAAAAAAGTGATGTGTAATGGACCAAGTATTCTTCACTGAACTAAATCTATGCTGGGTTGCAGGAAGCTGGAGCTTGTCTCCAGTGATCATTGGGTAAAAGGCAGGTTGAATATTGGACAGGTCAACAGTCCATCACTGGGACATTGAGACAACCACGGTCATGGTAAAAAAAAAAAATGTTCTAGTGTTTCTCTCCTCTGTGTCTCACAGGTGTTTAGCTTCCAGTTGGATGAGGCAGACATGGCCACTTTAGGAGGATTACACGATGGGAGACATGTAACTTGGGATCCAACAAATGTTAAGTGAGACTAATGAGGTGTGTTTAGGCTGTTCCCAAGTTTTACAAGCAGTAGTTGAATAGCATTAATTTGTAGTTAATACATACTTTGTAGATAATTCATACATTTTAATCACTGACTTAAAAAACACACYATTTTTGTTTGTTTTTAGTTAGTAATCCCGAATTTTAACTGCAGCATTTGATCATGTCTGTCATATTTTCAATAATAAAAAAAACTAAACATTTTACTTGTATGTAATGTATTTTTCTTGGTAAAGTTCGGCTACTTGGTTATTCATGGTTAACTTGAAACAGATAATTTTGAACATTTTATGTTTTTCACCAGAAACTAACCCTTAGAACCTRCCGTTAGATTAAAACTTTGTACACTAACAACATATTTGTATTCACTTCAGGGGAAATAGACCTTTATGATGCTTGTTAAAGGTTTGGCAGTTTAAGGTGTTGAGAATTATGCAAATATCGATGAAAATGATAAAAATAAAAGAACCACAAAAACAATCAGTTAGCAATATCATTTAATTTCCCCCCAGCTTAGAATCACTGTTGCACATAAGTTACATTTTGTTTTCTCAATTTCACAGGATTTCCTCTCTTCAAACTTCCAGTTTGACCTTTCTCCCTCTCTTTCGTATCAAACAACAAACGAAAAAAAAAAGATAAAGAAAAAGCAGATTGTATTATACAAAAATGCAAACCAATTTTCACACAGTGAATTCTTTTACAAAGTCATAAAATGGCGTAATAATGGCTACATCCACATTGGAGGAAGATAATTCTAGACATTCCTTAATGGAGTATAATATACATATAAAAACCTTTTTTTTCTTGCTGAAATCAAACCTGTACCTTAATTTAAGAGATATTTTACAAGGGAGTAATAATATAAAAAAGCCATTTGCAAATTTCCCCAGAAAGTCTGAGAATAAAATGTTGAGCCTCAAACAGCAGTAACAGAGGTCAGTGGTCAAGGTTGTAGATGGACATTTTACCATCAACAAGGGCTGTAGGTAGCAGTTCCACTCAAAAAACAAAACACACAGGACTAAAAATAAAAAAGAAGAAGAAAAAAAAAAAACATTTCCGCTTTTCACTTAAATGTAAACTCCCCCCATACATTATCATACAAAAGTTTTGTCAAGCCAAAATGTGGTTCGGGCTCAATTAGACCTGCAGAATCAGTGTTTTGGTACTTTCGGTTGACTCAAATACAAAATGTGGAAAAAGCTGAAACGTGTAGCAACACCTCATTCCCTCTTTTAAACTTTGCTTTGAGTATTTTAAGCCATCATCTCATCATTGTATTTAGCATAAATATATGTCAAAAGAGGGGCAGGGGGTGTAAAAATTACTTGAGGACACCTAACGTTGTTGACCCTCATATCAAAAATTGAATATCTGTAGGTCAGTAAATGTACTTAACTACTGTGAAAACTATGTGAACATAAAGAGTAAAAAACTATATTGTTGGTGTTTTAAAGTATGAATTAATAGAGCCCACTTGTATGACTCGTAAATATGAAAATTAGATATTAATTGTGGTTTACTTTAAGAGAGCTCATGTTCTTTAAACTAAATAATGTAAAGGAGTATTACAGATATAATTAAGGCTAACTTTTCATAAGAGACTTCCTGGTGTTTCTCTTTGGGGCAGTCATGGGCAAAAGCGCTAAATCTGTTCTAAAACCTCAACACTTCTGCCCTATACAGCATAATTTATGGGGGGGTAACAAAAAAAAGAGGAAAATCTTAAAATAAAACTTAACTCAGGGTACATAACCTACAATACAATCTAGCGTGCACACAAAACATCTCCATATAAATTTTTCAAAGTTACAGATTTTGTCTTCTTCGGAAGCATAATCTATAAAGAAAATCTTTGTTTGAACACAAAAGATTAAGTGAAAACACATCAATGCACACAGAGGTCCTTCATCTGGGAAAGGATAAAGTCTGTGTTGGCAACCAGTGGACAGAACAAAGAAAACAAAAACATTTTGCTGATTCTAAGTAGAGATCATTTAATATAAATGCTGAGCAAGTAGAGTAAAAGGTGGCACATTAATAGTGCTTTAGTATATTAATGGATGTATACATACTCATATGTATAAATGAGCTGTGTACCTAAACAATAAATGTAGCAAGGAGCAGCCTGAGGCTTTAAGTGTGGTTGGAGACCAACATGGAAACAGTAAAATGAATGAATATGGCGGCAAGAAATTAGAAGTGGATGTCAGACACAAAAGTATTTGTATCTACTTAATTGATCAGTAATAAGGGATTTGCCAAAGTGGATGTTTTTCAGTATCCCTTGTCCTAAAATGAAGGCTCAACAATGAACTAAATTTGACCCAAAGAGTCTTTATCCTTTAACCGTTCAAGCACAAGAACCCACTGTGAGTGAAACTTTAAAACTGCTGTCAGTTATTCTAATTGTTTACAGAAGGCAAAGAGCTGCTGAGCATCAGACGTAAACAATTTATAGAATGGTGTTCTAATAGGAATGATGGTGATGAAGACAGTGTTATACAGAACAACAAAACTGATCAAACTGACTTCTCTGCCAGTCTTCATAAATACAGTGAGTACAGTTTGAACAAGCACATCAAATATGATGTCAGGGCTGCAGGTTTTGATGCATTTCTGCTTACATCTCAGTAACTCGATTTGATGTTTTAATGTGGAGCTAAAATTGGGGTCATAAAGTTTGTTAAAAAATAATTTAAACTGAAATCAAAATTGAACTTAGAAAAAAAAAAGTTCAAAACTCCTTGTCAGATGCTAGGGTTTTTGATTCAGTTTCAGATTTTTTTTTTCTTCCTCTTCTTTTTTTTCAGTTTCAATCTACTGGCTCTGTTTTGGCGTGAGGGCGGGGCCTCAGATGACAGGGGGTGTTRAATCTTGACTGACAGCTCAACACAGCAGCTGGACAAAATATCCCCAGCTGTTGCATTCAGGAACTGTGGGAAGAATAAGCTGCTTATGTCAACATACGACACAAATCTCAGTGGAAATAATGATACTGACAATCACAGATTCATAAAATCTGAAATGAAAATAAAAAACAGGATCTGAGAAATAGTCTTTAAGAGTTTTTATTTTGGTTTGTTTTTTCCCGGTTTCAAATCCTCACACCTTATTTTTTCAATTTCCATTGTTTTCAGTTTGTTTAATTTAATATGATTTTTTTTACAAACTTTATGGCCCCAATTTAGCTCCATGTATTAAGCTGTAAACACGATTTTAAATTAAATTAACTGAGCAGCTAAAACTGAAGCCACACTCAGCTTTTAATAGTGAACTGAAGGCTTGTGGGAGATATTTTTTTATTATTTTTTAGCACAAAACACAGCTATTTCAGAATTAGAAAGCATGACACATCGCAGTGATGTTTTATAAAGCTCTCACAAGGTAAGCATCACCACCCAAAATCATAACAATGTAAAGCACAAAAAAATGCAAACAAAACAAAACACAACACAAGGGAAGGCAACTTCATAGAAGTTATGAGAACAAATGACAAGATAATCCCAATGGGGAGGCCTTTGTGTGGCCAGATTAGAAGCTCTGAGGAGGGAAATTCTTTATATTTTACTGCCCTGATGGTATAAAATGAACATTCATTTACATGACTCCTAAAGCACAAAGATGTGCTCTCAGCCCGGTATTATGCAGTCCCTCAAAAAGTACTTTTGAGGCTATTATAAACTGGCTGGAGCTAAATGCACCCTGGAGCTCAAACAAAAGGCAGCAGAAACAAAACCACCGGAAGGTCATTCCACAACCAAGACAAGCACCCAATATTCCCTTATAAAAAAATCAAAAACAAAAAAAGGTCTTTATATATATCTAAAAAAAGGTTGATGCAATCCTTAAAACAGAATGCTTTAATTAAATATATACTGCTTTCAAGTATGAAACAGACATGTATTCATAAAATGCGATAATAAAAATGATACTTCCTGTGGCTGACAGGGAAATGCATGGGGTGCAACATATTTTTTGTAAAACACTTTATATGTTTAATTTGGCTGATTCCACGTGGAGTTTGAACTGTTTCCCTCCTCAGGCATCTACATCTGGGCAACTTTTTGTTAAGATTTTGGGGGGTGAGTACCAAGCTCTTTCCTACAATGAAGTCACAAATCACAAGGCTTTAAGCAAAGCTCTTCAAAGAGTATGTGCTATGACTGTGTATAACGTAACATTTGTATCTAACCGTTCATTTACATGTTTGAGTCTACGACGAAACCAAAGATCGAAAAGGGAGAATCTATATTTCCCTCTACTGCTTCAACTGAAAATGGAACTCTGTCTTGTTTGAGTCAATGTAAAAAAACACTGTCGACATCACCACCATCTTTTTTCTTCCTGATATTTCCATTGTGAGCCTTGTTAATTAAATCCAAATAGAAAAAATAAAACAAAAACAAATTAAGAAATAGGAACATGCACAAAAAAATGTTATATGCTCTGGTTTCCAGGCAAGGAAAGTCATTTAAAAAAAAGCTCATTCACAGAACAAAAAGAAAGAAAATTCATCACGGCAGATACTGCTCATCTTCTAAATAGAACTGGTGTATTGGTGACTGCGCATGCTTTTCAACTGAGCGTCGTGTGTGGGTGCAAAATATGTATGTGTGTACTTTCTAAGAGCAGGAATGGACAACGCCATTCTTTTGCATCTCTGACCCAGCAGCACCTGAATCAGAACACAAGCTCAATGCCGACGCCTTGTTTGTCAGTGACAGCATGGACCCACCCACTGCACTTTCCTGCAGACTGCTGGAACCATTGGAAACCTCACTGAAATAGGAGCAGAAAGAGAGAGAAAAAAAACATTACCAAATAAGAACAAGAAAAAAAAATAGAGAAAGGTCACACATTAAAGGACTATTCAAGGAACACAATTAATATAAATATGAAGCRATTGCTACTTTTCTTTTATTGGAGAATTTGAAAAAAATTTAACTTTGCAGATTACAATATCAGAAATGTAGCTCAGAGTAAAATTATTCATCATGCCTTCCAACTTTTATCTATAATTCCTTAATTTTTTTTAAGTTTAGATAATTGGCTTTTGTACCTTAGTTATATAATGTTAATCTTTTAATATAAGTGTTAAAAATTGTTGCATTTGGGCTTGTGTAATGACAATAGACTACTCTCGTCTATTAAAGTTTGTGTTTTCATACTCACCCAAGAGCTAAAGAGATTTCTTCCAGCTGAGTTTGGTGCTCTGGTTGTCCATTCTCTACAGGCTTCATTTTGTACTGCTGAACATCATGAGCTACTTGGCTTTCCTGCTTTGTAAATGAACAAAAAAGTTGTTTATAACATATATGATTGAACTCTTATTGCATCTAATTATGCTTAGAACGAATCCCATACCAAAGCCATCTCACGAGTCCTCTTGCCAATTTCTCTCTCCACCTGGTGGAGCTCCAAGCTCAGCTGTTCACTGGAGACAGCTGATGCACTTGCACCCCCTGCTGGCCATTTGGGCTGTTGCTGCTGTGGGGCCACAGCTGACTGGCCCTGGCTGGCATGCACAGGTTGACCTGCCAATGCACTAGCCTCTCTCTGCAGGAGTAAAGAGTTACTGGCAGCCTGCAATATTCAGACAGCAAGTGAGCAGATTAGAAATTCTGGGCAATTTATTCAGGGGAAAAAAAGGAGATGCCACACACATTTATTACTGTAAAAATAACTTCACTTCATTTGGTACATTGGGAATATACAAAAAAAAACCTKTTGAATAAAAACATTTTACAGACTTTAGTTTCAAAGTCACAACACACCTCCATGTTGTGTATCTGGGTCTGCTGATTGATCTGCTGGTTGACCTGCTGCAGCTCAATCTTCAACTGTTCTCTGTCTGGAGCTGCCATGGGCAGGCTGAGAGAACAGAATACAGTTAGATTTTGTTTCACGACCATTTTAAGTAAAAATCCGTATTTACAATGTCATAAATGCCTAATTAGTATAATCATGACTATAATAACTATGTCCGGGGTCGCTGGAGATAGGCACTAGCTCCCCGCGACCCTGCACAGAGAAGCAGGTCAAGAAAATCAGCGAATAACTGATGTAATAATTGAAATAAATCATTATCAGCAAACACATAAAAATAAATAAATAAATAAATAAATAAATAAATAAATAAATAAATAAATAAATAAATAAATAAATAAAATGAAATACAGTACAGGACTTACCGCTCAATAAAGTGTCCCTGAGAGGAAGAGGCAGTTGGATGGGCGGGGTATGAAGCTCCACTCCAACCTCCATGACTTCCGTACGAGTATTCTGATGGAGGCAAGATGATACACCAATCCATAAAAAAGTACAACTGACAGTTTTGATTACAGCTGATCAACTGCAGAAATGCCTGATTAAAAGTGCAGTGAAATAAAATACAACTTTGCCGACTGCCTTATAGAAATTAGGAAAACATATTAGTTTATACATAAAAAAGTACCTTGCAAGGCCATGTGTTTAGAGTTGGGGTTCTGGGGAGTGGAGGCCATAGCTTGCACAGGGCCAGTAGTGTGATAGCCTGTTTTTGAAGTGCGGGAGATGGCACCAAAGCGTGACACAGTGGGCTGGGGACCAAACGGTATAATAGGGTCATCATCCTTTACTTCTGCACTTCTCCGAGGAGCTTCCAGTGATGGTTCCCTCAGGCCTTTAGCCTCCACATTCTTATCGAAGGGAAAGAGAGAGAACAAAAAGGAATTTTTAGAACAAAGTGAGAAAAATACCTTGGTTAATCAAAGAAAAATAGACTTRCACAAATACACCAGTTATTTAGGCAATGACTGTAACGTAATAAACTGAGTTAAGACTGAGCCAACAATCTTATCTTACCATCATCTCCATGGTACCGGGAACCATAACATCTTTGGGTTTAGCATCCTTTGTGCCAATATATGAGCCAATGGTCTCACAAGACCAAGGAGAGTACTGCCCTGCATAGTCTGGCTCTCTGCATTTCATCATAGTTTTGGAGCTTTCATCTCCATACTGCAAACAAGGAAAAACAGATTGAAAAAAATGTGAGCATTAAAATTATAGTGAAAGTGTAAAAGTTGCTGGACCTGTATGGAACCAATTGATTTTTGTGCTAACCTCATTGGGGTAATCATTGGGGAAGGGATGCGAAAGAGTGGGGGAGGCCGCGAATGGTGGCGGGGAGATCACCTTCCTTTCCTCAAGTTGTGATATCAGCTCCTGCCGACGTCGATGCAAGTAGTCCAGGCTGTGCTGTGAACTACTGTATGTWGGACCCTAAGATAAAAAGCAAAAATATCACTGATGGACGTTACAGTTTTCTTTGCATCTTCCAGAACCTGATAGAGTCCTATAAGGACAATGAAGAGACTTAACATAGCCTTACCCTGACATAAGTCCTCATAGGTGGAGGTTGGGCGCCTGGCTGATAGTAGCCTTCGGGTGGGTATCGGTCCCGGACACTAGGCTCTGGGTGATACATCGAGTTAGCCTGCCCTGCTGATGGTGGAGGAACATCCAGAGATGCAGGATTTAATTTCACAGATGGGGGTGGTGGGCCACTGTAGGTTCCAGGGCGACTTCTGTCGTAATGAGGTGGGTGAGGATAAGAAAAAGGTGGGCCAGCATGAGGGGCTGGGTAGGCTCGTTCTGGAGGACCATAGCCACTGTAAGGGTCATGGTAGGGGGGTCCTGATTCACTTGGGGGAAGAGGGTTACGGATGTATGCATCTCGAGGAACATATTGTGGTGCCTGTTGATAGGAGTAACCTGGGAAACAAAGGTATTATTTATTAGAAGTACAACAGCAGCTACTTTTCAGTCACACACAAATAAGGATTCCCAATTCTACTCTTCAATAGGTTACATTTCCTTTACTACATAACTCAATAAAGCTAAATTTATCTTATTTTAGCAACTGTATTAAAAAAACATGAGTTTAGGTTTGCTTTAAAGGGGCAATTTCTTGTAAAATCAACTTTTTTGAGTTTTATATCATGTTAAATATACTCTCATACAAAAACATGCCCAAAGCCTTGCTTTGACTCATTCATGTATGTTTGAGAAATCCTGTAGCGTTTTTAGGAAGCCATGCTGAGGAGCAAAACGACAGGTGGGGGCCAGAAACGCCTTTTGGGACCAGAAACACCTCTGGGATGTGTCTTTAACGCCCCCTCCCCACACACCCCGCCCATGACTCCTGCAGGCTCTCGGCAGTAACAAAGCAAACAACGGGTAAAACTGAAAGTGAAACTGTCTGCTTAGCTGCTAACACTACATCTCACTCAGTGAAACTCTTTTCAGATTCAAAATACCAGAAATGTATTTTCAGATGCCAAGTAAACTGCATCACAACCCCCCCACGCACACGCGCACACACACACACACACACACACACACACACACACAC